GTTTGAGGTAGCTAGGTTTATAATTATGACTAAAAGTTTCAGTTGCATTATTAAAATATACCAAAACATTACAAATTTTTTCGCAGGTGTCGATCTCAGCCGAGTTTATAATATAATTATCATATTGTTTCATAAAAGCAGGAAAATGTTGTTTATATCTAAGAAGAACTGAAATTAACTTATAAATATTATTCCAACGAATAGACAAATCTTTAGGAAAAACCACATATTTCTCACCTCTTTCTATCAAATAATCATGCCATTTTTTTCTAAGTTGACCATTACCCCAAATACGTCTAATCCCCCCTCGTCTACCTCCAAAGATGCTTCTAACGCTTTTAGACCATCTTGCACACATAAATTAATAATATGATATGCACATCGTTGATGAAAAAATCTACTCATCAAAGAAGTGGAACCACACAATTCACGCAATCTAGGAATAACAACATTATTATTAGTAACATTATCAAAACCAATAGCAAACACCTTATCAATTAAATTATATTCAATTAAAATACGCTCAATCAAAATATAAATATGTTCAGCGGTGTGACGATCATTAAATTCACGAAAAGAAAGAACATGTTTATGCATATTCCAATCATTATCAATATAATGTACAGTCAGACCCAAATAATGTAAATTATGATAAGTATCCTCCCTCCCATATGTCAGAACATACAGTAACACGCCCATCAAAGTTTGCAAAATAATTTTGTAACCTTACTTTTTCCGCACCATAAAGCCTTGAAATTTCTTTCTTAACCGTTTCGCGACTATAACCTCTAGATTGAGGATTTTAACAAGTTTGTGCATAATCACGAAAAGCAAGACTTTCAGAAAACAAATAAGGCAAATTTTCTTCAACAAATAAGTTAGTCATACCTGTCAAATTATGTGCATCATTGTATGAGAAATTACCAAAAGGTTGTTGGTTATTTGCAAATCTCGATATTTGAGTTTGCTTCCTCGTTCCGCCGCCTAATTTTGCATACTCCACTAGGTGTTTGGCCTTAAGATGCCTTGTGGCGGATCCGGATCCGCTGGAAATCCCCAAGCTATAATTTTCTTTCACCACTTGCAAGTTGCGTTCCAATTCCAGGTGTTCGGATCCTTCCACTTATCAAAATTATTTTGCATTAGTTCAGATCTACTTTTTTCGTACTTGTTTGGGATGAGACAGGCTCGTCGGCGTTGTGGCTGCCGCCACCCTCCTCCGCGTCGCCATCGTGGCTCTCCGGAATTAGTTCCTCCACATCGTCGTCTTCGAGCTCTTCTTCGTCAATGGTCCTCGACTGGTCTTGGAAAAACCGACTATTATGTCGGTGCAATTCTTGTTCTAGTTGTTTGTCGGTTATGGCATCCCCATCCCTCCTTGCGTAACCTGTATCAAAATCATCTCGGCTTTGAGATGAAGAGCCGATATGTGATTTACCTTTGCGGGATTTCTTCCTCGCAAGCTCGTTCGTTCGGTTGCGCTCGAGGTTACCCATATCAACCGAATATCAACCACCTTCCATCTTAAAAATGTAAAAAATATTAATTTATAAAAACAATTCGAACTAATGAAATAAAATTCTAACAATTCTAACTTTAATGAAATAACATTCTAACAATTCTAACTAAGTAGATATAAATTGTAATATGTATGTATTTAGTAGATATAAGTAGATAATAAGTAGAGATTAAGTAGATAACAAATATAAGTAATATAATATATGTATTTATAAGTAGATAATTAATATATAACTATATAAGTAGATAAGAAATATAAGTAATATAAATTATAATATATGTATTTCTAAGTAGATAAATAATATAAGTAGATATATAATATATTGGAGATTAAGAGAATTTGAGAAGATGAAGATAATTAGAGAGTAGAGAGTAGGATTTAGGAAGAGTTGGAGAAGAGATAATGAGATATGGAAAAATGTTTAAGATTAGAAGTATTTATAGTTTTTTTACCCCACCCCCACCCCCCAAACCGCCCGGACCCCCCTTCCAGACCACCCAACGGTTATATAGCCGTTTGGGTAGTCCCCAGCCCACCCCAAGAGCTATTTGTGGTCCAAACATTTTTTTTATATTTTTGACCGTTGGACCCGGACCCGGACCCGACCCGGCCGGGCCGAGTCACCTTTTGCCTCAACCGAGCCCCCCCCCCCCCCCCGGTTCGGGTCTACACCCGGTCCCGGACCGCCAGACCGGGCCAGTCCCGGGCCCGCACAGTAGCGGGCCGGGCCGGGTGGTCCGAGCTGAATCCAAGCCTAGCCGGAGTAATCAGGGCTGAAACTCACTCCATTGAGTTTCAAACCCTTATGTGCCTAGTGGGTTTCGAACCAAGCATTCCAGCCCAACTGGTTGCGAGGTTACCGTGTCTAGCGAGAGATCTCGAGTTCGAAACCCGCTAGGCACATAAAGGGTTTGAAACTCAATAGAGTGAGTTTCAGCCCTGATTACTTCAGCCCCCCCCCCCCAGACCCTTCTGGAGTATAAAAAAATAAGAGTATAATCGTATATATCAAACTCAAATGACTATGATTTTATCTTAGATATTTAGCATTGTTGCTTATAAAACAATCATTAGATATATCATATATAGTTTATACTATATACACCCATATATAGTGGGTAGTTGAAGCACACACAGACTAGGTAGTTGCTTTTGTATATGTATAAATGAATACATTTGATTATTCTTCAAATCGAATACATAATTATTTATATTCATATTCGAAAGATGCTTGAACCAAACATATCATTTGTATTTGCATTTAAATTCTATATTCAAATTTAAATCATAATTTTTGAATTCAAATCACGAATCTAATTAAAACTATTTGCTTTGTTTACAACCCTTACTCCATGTGATACTTTTGATTGATTACAAATAGGCTTGACATTTGTATACTTAGACCTATATATGGCTACACTTCAAGGGTATAGCTAGTTTTTAAAAATTATAATAGTGTTATTACTATTATTATTGATATTATTATTAACATCATTACTATTATTTATCGAATATATCTAATCAACATTCAAATCGAATATACTGATATTGTAATTTGTATTTGATAACACTTTGAATCAAATTTAGTATTGTTATTTATATTTGATTTTTTCGAATTTAAATAGCCTTATATAAATTTGAATTGTGAATGGAAGACATATTATTTGATTCGTATAGAATCTTACTCACCTCAGTCCGTATACCGTGGTACCGGCCTACTATGAGCATCATGCTACCAGGGATAAAACACGGATGAACAGTACCATCGGATGAACATTAACTTTTTATTTTGTATTCCAGTAGCAGGGTGATGTAACTCCCGTTTTAAAAAATGTAACTCACGTTGATGGGAAATGTAACTTGAGTCAACTTTAAATGTAAGTGGTCTAAAGCGAAATATAAGAAAAAACTAAAATGATTTCAATGTAAAGAATGAAAAATTGATCCTAATTACTCAATTACTTTTGTAATTAGCGAATATGTTTTATTTTTAATATTAGGGCCATAAAAATGATATAATTAAATAGAATATATATATATATATATATATATATATATATATATATATATTATAAACATTGGTTTCAATGTAAAATTGATACTAATTGATCAATTACTTTTTGTAAATAGTGAATGAGTTTTTTTAATATCAGGACTATAAAAATGATATAGTTAAAAACAAATTTTTTTTCGTAGTGTAACTCACGTACATTAAAATGTAACTCACGCATAAACAGATGTAACTCATGCACAAGAAGATGTAACTTCATATAATATTAAATGTAAACATTGAAAACAAGGAGTTTAATATTTTTCTTTTAATTTACGTAAATAGTGAATATATTTTGTTTTTAATATTAGGGCCATAAAAATGTTTCAAAGAGAAAAAGTTTCCCAAAAAAATCTTTATTTGCCAAAAAAAAAATCTTTTTTTACAAAAAAAAGATTTTTTTGTTTCAATAGCATGAGTTTATTTTGTGATGTAACTCGTGTTATGAAAAATATAACTCGCATTGATGGAAAATTTAACGTAGGTGTATGCAAACTGTAAATTGTTGAGGCAAATCCAAATGTAACTCACGTATTGAAAGATGTAACTCACCCATAAACAGATGTAACTCGTGGACAAAAAGATGTAACTACATACACTATCAAATGTAACTCCAGAAATTGTAACATAACTCACACATATGAAAAATGTAATCTCATGTTTTACCAAATTTAAATCGAAATAAATAAACTTAATATCTTAAAAAACTACAAACATATAAAAGAGATAAAAAATATATTATAAAAGAAGTGTATGAATATGAAAAATATTTTACTAAAAAGATGTATAAATGAAAAACGTATTACACCAAAAATAAATTTGGTAGTACTTATTTTATGTGGATTAAGAAATTTAGTACTCCCTCCGTTCCTAAATAAACTTCCAACTTTCCTTTTTCATTCGTTCCAATTAAAACTTCCACTTTCCCGTTTCAGTAAAAAATTTGTGGTTCACAACATTTCTTACACATTTCTCTCTCCTCTGCACAACTCTCCACCACACAATACCCACTATCTTAAACTCTGTGCCAAACCTATTTGAAAGTTTTAACAGGAACGGAGATAATAATAAATTGGAAATTAAAGAAAAAAGTTAAGAAATATAGTAATAAATTGGCAATTAAAGAAAAAAGTTAATTCAATTTTAATTTAATTAGTTAAAGATAAAAATAAATAAATCAGAATTAGTTTTTAGTGTTTTCATGGAGGTGAAAATAATTGGAAAAAACAAAAAAGAAAAATAATGAGAGGAAATAGTGCTCCAAACAAACTTGGAGGGCATGAAGGAAAAGAAAAGAAACGTAGCTTCAAAAATGGAAAAACGATACCATATGTGGTACCAATATACCATGGACACATGGTACACCGGTACCATGCTATAATTTGCCTACTCACCTTACACTTTGGTGCGTATGCTCCATGGACCGGTGATCCCTCGTACCATGCTTTTGTAGTTTTGTGGAGTCCAAATAAAAACAAAATAAAGCCCATATAACTTATCTGGGTAAAAAGGGAATCCGAATATTTGTGGTAGTCATAATTATCTGAAACGGGTCCTTCTCTTTTTTTTCTCCGAACTTCTTTCGAGGAAGAGAGAGACCAGCGCCTAGTGAGAGGAAAAGCCACCGGCCATGTCGGACGAGGAGCACCAATTCGAGGCGAAGGGAGATGCAGGGGCATCCAAGACCTACCCGCAGCAAGCTGGAACCATCCGCAAGAATGGCTATATAGTCATTAAAAACCGTCCTTGCAAGGTCTTCTTTACCTTCTTCTGCAGATATGCATATTGCCTCTGATAGATTCATCATGTTTTCCACCTGATAACTGATTTATCGCTTTCATAGTTTTCTGATCTTGATATTAAATCCACCCCCCCCCCCCCCCCCCCCCCCCCCCGTTTCCAGATCTAGAACTTTTTTAGGTTATCGCCTCTGTGTGTAAAAAATCTAAGAAAAATGGATATATTTCATGTATCACGAGGAATCTGCAATCCGTTACTCATCTGGAAACTGATAATTTATTGTAGTGGATGTGAAAATTTGATTCTTTTTTTGGAGGAAAAATTGTACACCCTTAAAGTTAATTCACTATTCCATTTAATCTTCCACATTAAAGCACAGTGTTTTGTCGGGTGCTCATTTGATTTTCCCCATCGAAATTTACCCTTACCTAGTCATTCTTCGTTCACATCATACGGAGTATTAAATACTCCCAAAGCATCATTCTCTGCACTGAAGTAGTAGGTAGTCATCTACTTAAATTTTTAATTTTTGGATTTTTCTCACTGTTGGTATATAATAATGATGCTTTTCTGTACCTTGAAAATTGAAATGTCATAAGCTTTGGATGATAAAGAGGCTTGATAAGGTTTTAAATGAGTGGAGTCATTATTTCTTCTGTTATTTGTAATAATAACAAATCAATATTGGCTCTTAGCCCTTCATATAACAAGACCCTTGTTGAACGTTTTACCACTTGAATAAACCCTAACTTTTGTGTAGAGTTTCATTTAACAATTTCTTGTTTCGAAATCAGTTATATAAATTCAACATATTTCAGTGTTAAATTTGACATCGTTGAGTTAAAAAATTTGTTTTTTAACCATAGTGCATAGCTGAGGTCTAGTAATGGTGTTCTGTTGGAGCACATTTTACATTCATTAATTGTTTTTTTTAAGTTAAGTATATATTTGCATTATATTCATTAATCATTATTCATGTTTCTCTATCTTGTTCTTTTTTTCTGGTATAAAAAAGATGAAATTCACTTGCAATAAAAAGATGGAACACACTATATAGTAGGTATGCATCACTGCAGTTCAGACAGTTAGCGTGGTTTACCAATCATATATTTTGTTCAGTGTAATGCGGAAAACTTCAGCACCTTAAGTTATTGATACTTCTCTGCTATTGTTTGCCGCTTTCTGTGGAAGAATATTTTTACCGGGTGATAATTTTTTATTTCCAAAGGTTGTTGAGGTCTCCACCTCAAAAACTGGCAAGCATGGGCACGCCAAATGCCACTTCGTGGGAATTGATATTTTCAACGGGAAGAAGCTTGAAGATATTGTTCCTTCGTCTCACAATTGTGATGTAATTCGTCATTGTCTTTTACTTGTTTTTGTTTTTCTATGTATTTTATTCTGTTACAATTGACAAAGAATGTTTGATCTCATATGCCTCAACTCTTTTCTTCAGGTGCCACATGTTACTCGTGTTGACTATCAGCTTATTGACATCTCTGAAGATGGTTTTGTAAGACACCCACTAATTCTGAACTTTTTGGTGCTTTAGACAAATTTAGTAAAGAAGATGGAAATTAATGGTATTGCATACCTGGCAATTTTTTGTAGAATGTAAATGCATAAATGAAAATCATATTTATATTATTTTATATCTTCATTTAAATGCTAATTTGTTAATTTCAAAAATCCATTTAAATTATGCATATTTCATCATCATCTTTACTCCAGTGCCGCACAGGCTCCCACCTACGGTGTAACTAATGCATATTTATTTAAAGAAAATATAACATGAAAAAGATATACCAACGATCACTCATAAAATGACCATGCCACTATCTGAGTACACACCAGGCAACTTGACTGGTCAAATGAGTTACATCTGTTTTGGTATCATTTTTTACCCCAGAATCTTCGACCGGTAACTTGCTTTTTGTATCATTTTCGTTATATATTTAAGTAATTGGGGTGTAAACTTTTTTATACGTAGTAGTATGTATTATTAATTTATTATTAGTATGTCACCAAAGGTACTTCCACCACTGCTCTTCCAAGCACATTTTGGTTAACTCCTGTTGTCAATAATAAACAAAAATTATCATCATTTATCGATCTTTGCCACTTTAGAACCATATAGCTTGTTTTCTACTACCTTAGGACTGATATGATGAAATTACAAGATTATTAATGAAATGGAATTATGTGGTTGATATTAAATTTGTGAAGTACTACGTATGATTTAAGTAAGAATGAAGTAGAAAGACCGAGTTATTATATTATACAAACTTAGTGGGAAAGACCTAAATATTATACTAACATAGTCGTTGATATTAATTTTTTGAAGTATGATTTAAGTAAGAATGAAGTAGAAAGACTCAGATATCATTTAAGCTTGTTTTTATTCTTGTATTTAAGCTCGAACTGTTAAAAATATGGTACCACTATGTTGTTATGGTTTAGGTCTCTCTTCTAACAGACAGTGGAGCTACCAAAGATGACCTGAAGCTTCCCACTGATGAGAATATCGCAGTGCAGGTAATGATTGTTTTACTTCTAGTTGTTGCATGGTAGGGAAATATTAAAGGGAGAGAGAACAAATATACCACTGAGGATATATACTCCAACTTTCTTTTGGAACAATTAAACACATAATTGTAGTGGAACAAATTTGGCCTTATGTCCAAATAGTAGAGGGACATATATTTGATCTCCAACAAACAGTTCAAAGGAATATGTGTTCTCTTTCTGGCATTAAATAAAATAAAACTCAAAATGGTTTTCTCACATGGGTTTCGCTTTTGTACAGATCAGAGATGGATTCAAGGAAGGGAAGGATCTTATAGTGTCAGTCATGGCTGCAATGGGAGAAGAGCAGATTAACGCAGTGAAGGATATCAGTGGTGCTGGTGGTACTAAATAGTGAAAAGCCAGCCAGCCTTTTATACATTTAATATATCTATAATTAAGGGAACCTGGCAGTATATCTATAATTAAGGGAACCTGGCAGTTCACCTGAATTGTTTGTTATTTCCAAGTTTAGTGATGAGTCAAGACAGCTCTGTTGAACCATGCTTTTGTGTATTGAAACCCTTGCAAAAGGTTCCTTCTGGTGGTCCTTGTGCTATGGTTCTGCTCCTGCGCCAACAGATTAAAGTTATGTGCTTAATTGCTATCCTTCTTATAGCTTATGTGAACAATTCCTTTGCCTTTGAATAAAGTCACATATCCTCTTGGCATTTCCTTTCCGGCGGCAAATTGCATTTCCTGCTCTCAAGGGTGGGGGAGTAGGGATGGACTCGGGCCGGGTTAACCGGCCCGTAATCGGGTATTGTTACAGCCCGGACCGGCCCGGTACCCGGTTCTATAGAGGGGCGGTTCCCGGGCCTCCCAAATCACGAACCGGCTTGCCGGTTCGGGCCAATTTTTTTTTTGTAATTCACATTTTTTAAAAGGTAAATTTGTTGGGTTGGGTGTTTTGGAGGGGTTTGGGGGTGGGGGGTGGGGGTTAGGAAGTAATTAGAAAAAAAGGGTACCCGGCCCAACCTGGCCTGGCCGGTAATTGCCGGGTGAAACGGCCCAACCCGGGCCCAGAGTGACCCGGGCTGGTGTTCGGGTCTCACTTCTCCCAAAAAAGCCCAGTTGGAACTGGACCAAGGCCCGACCAGGCTCGAACCGATTCCATGTTTATGGGGGAGAAGTGAATTATTATCACCAGTCATGTATGTATCCAACTTGATGCAAAAATGATTTTGGTATTTAACTAGTCATCATCAACACAAGCCAAGTGATCTAGCTAATTTAATTCTACCGTGTAAGAGTTGTTTGGGCATTCGAAGCAAAAGAATTAATAAATCCAAGCAGGTCTGCGGGTGTTGAATGAAAACGGTGTCAATAGAGAACCATGCAAAAAGGCATTGTTAACGTCAAGTTGGTGGACAACTGGACATTAGTACAAGGCGAATGATTGTTGGGTTGACAACGAGCCCAAGGGTATCTTTAAATTCAACCCTAGGGCGTTGGTGATAGACCGATAGCCTTTGGTTACAAAGCGTGCTTTATAATGGGCCAAGGGACCATTTGAGTTTTTTTGATCGGATAAACTCAATAACAACCAATAACCATTTGTGTGGGAGATGCATGAACAAGAGAGATCAATTTCTGCTACTTGCAAGATACTCCCTCCAGTCCTTAATGAAGTTTACACTTTCACTTCACACATATTAAAGAAATAAAATTGATTTTACTGTCGAGTACATTGTTTGACACTGTTTGACACTGTTTAACACTGTTTGGTGTAGATTTGTTTGTCAAATAAGGCAAATAAGGAAGTGTAAAGTTTAATATGGACGATCCAAAAAGGAAAGTGTAAAATTAATTAAGAACCGGAGGAAGTATTTGCAACACTCATCAAGAACAATTTTTCAATTCAACTAAGGGAAGATTCACAAAAAGAATAAGATGATAGGGTCACTCTGTAATAGCCAGCTGACTCACTAGGATGTGATATTTTGACATTTCAATATTCAAGTTTCGACGATGAGTATGTGATTTATTTCTCTTTCCCTATGAGTCTCTCCTGTTATTTGGATAGATCATATGTATGTGAGGTATGTTCAAGAAGTCCCCATACTTCCCTTGCCTATCTACGCTTGCTTACATTCATTCTCTCTTTTCAAGAAAGGAATGAAAGATCGATATTCATTGCTTGGATGTTTCCCTTAGCAAACTTGTTAAAAACATGAGTTCCATTCAAAACAGGAATCCCCCAATCTTAATAAATGGATTGCAAGAAGATTTCCATTCAAAAAGGGGTGAAAATATATTGCGAAAGATCAGAATCCATTCAGTATGAAAAAATACAAGAGTAAATAATCAATCAAGCTACTGTACTTTACAGGTGGCGTCGATGTCCGTTAAAAGTGAAGCACCGCAAATGACTGCTCAACTGTGGGGTTGGTGGCGGCAAACTAGTTGGAGACCGTAGCCATAATACCTAAAAAAATGTAAAGATTTTAGGGTTATAAAATAAGTAACGGATGCACACTATTAGGCTAGAGGCCTAGGGATTTTTATTAGAACTATCATTAATAACTAAAAAAAGATTGACACTTCATCTTTAAGTGCGCTCAGTACAGACCAAACCGTTATACGGATGTAAATTGAACTTTAATCACAAGTTAACAAACAATGAGTGGGGTTCTGGTTCAAATATTGGCAAAAGAATTATCATTAATAACTAGATCCTGGAGAAGGGTGTGAATGGTATTAACAACAATGCATCTAATATGAGTTACTTATGCAAACATTCTTGATATTGTTGGGTTGGTATCGCTGTTGGAAAAACACGGACCTTTCCGCTTCGTGAATTTAAGATAGACATAGACACTTAGGAATTAAGGTAGTAATGAGAGCACACAATTTAAATTCTCGAAGATTTTTCCACTATACAAAAGAATAGTATAGTGGAAAGATTTCTCCACTATGTTGGAGTAGTATTTACAATGATGTTACAAAATTGTCTCACTAAATGATGGTTCACTCAAGTTTGAGGATAGAGACTTCCCAAGCTATCTCACTTCTCTCTCAAAAAGGCTCTCTAACTTTTTCACTCTAAAAAGTGAATTCTCTCTTGCTACGATGGTTAGAAATGATGACATCTACTCCTATTTATACTACTCCACCTCCATAATAAATGGTGGAGAGTAGTTCTTTAGAATTCTCTATATATGCCTACATATTCTAGAGAACTCCAAGGAATCTCTACACCCCTCCATTCCATTTCATATACTTACATACTTTTCCATAAGATTTCATAAGGTTCCACACATCTCCAGAATATTTCAGAGAATTTCACACTCTTCCATGAGCTTCTAGAGAGTTCTAGACTTCTTTAGGATTCTCTAGAACGTTCTACAAATTCTATACTTCTCTAGAAAGCTCTAGAATTTTCTAGAATCTCTCCAATTAAGGAGGGATCCCAACAACATCTCCCCTCCCGACTTAATTGGGGGTAGTAGCAAACCTGCACCTTGACAAATATGTGAAGTCCTTTCTCACTGATGTGGCCAAGTCGTTTATGTCATACCTCCATGTCATCAGTGGTTACATTTACTTTTCCTTTGCAGAGCTTAGCTTGCATCACATACAACGATCCTTCCTTCCTCTAGCCATGACTAAACTTCAATCGAGATGCTCAAAAAATTTCATTAAAAAATTCCACCGGAAACCGCCCCAAATGGCGACAGCCGGACAAAGCTTCCTGTAAAAAGGCTTATTTGCACTTTTTATGAAAGTTCGAGGGCTTATTTGATAGTTCTCCCAACATATTATGAATTTATTAGTACACCTATGTCGACTTATCACCGCGATGCCGCCACGACGGGCGCCATATCGCCATGGCGGTATGGCAGTTTGGAGGCGCCGCGCCACAAAACCCCACCGTAACAACTATGAATACACTATAGTGGAGCAGCCCTCTCCAAAAAAAAAAATACTAGGCCTGCTTCTAAGAATGGTGCCACAGCACAAAGTGGAAAAGACATAAGGTTTATCATTGGCCTGTCATAAATTATGAATCAGAATACAAGTATATATATCTTTCAATTGCTTGCTTCTCTTGTTTCTCTGCTTTCATTGTGTAAGGATGAATCTTTCTTCATGGGGTAGCTGCCGTATATATAAGAGCAAAATCCCCAAAATGTAATTATCAAAGAAATGATCTTGAACCCACTCATTGGGTCACTCAGCAACACAACCGCAGCGATGTTTGTGATGGGCACTCTTATAGCATTCAGGACACCCGCGAGCACGGTGGACGCGATAAACACAACCGCCGTGCTTCCAAGAACACCGAATTGGAAGGTTAAAATGGACCAAACGATCACTTGATAGTACGAAGACTCCCCGCCCTCAAAAGTTGCCGCCTCGGATTTCATACCCTGGAAACCGCCCGTTACGACCATCCCAACCGTCGTGAAGAGGAACCCAAAGAGAGAAACCATTAACTGTTGTTCCAACACGACATGGAAAGATATCCTGCCGAGCAGTTTAACAAAGACCAGCTCCGAAAGAGCGAATATCAGCCCGTGAAGGGCAGAGGCCACAATATCCCACACAAACCCCATTGCGTATTCATGGTTAGTTATGTACCCGTATCTGTCGGAGTTAGAATCCAGTGCAACAATGACCATGGCAGCAGTGATGATCACGATCGAGTTAATAATAGACGCATTCATCTTGTTTTTCACTAAAAGGAACCCGAAAAGTGCGGAAAAAACAAGTGATGTGGATGCAATAAGAGCAGCAGTAGAAGCTGGGAGGTATGCATAGGCATAAGCATACATGAGATTATCAGCAGCACTTAAAAATCCCAACACAACATATGAGATGATCAACTTGAGGTCCAATGGAGTGGGATGTATTTCGAGAAAAAAGTACATGGGGACCAAGATGAGGGCAGTGAGGGGCCAACCCGCAACCGCAACCCACGAAATAATCCATTTGCTTTTCCCACCGTTGGCAAAATAAAGGCGGGACAAGAGGCTGGACGCAGGAAATGCAACTAACATTGATGCTGAACTTATGAGTAGCAGAATCCATATTGAGATTGGCTTGCTTCTATAAGCCTCCCATACCATTGTTTTATAGGCATAGATCTTTTGCAGTAATGTTTGAGGTTGTGGATCTTCCATTGCCTCCTCTAGAAAGAAGAAATCATCAAGGAACTACCCATTAGACAAAAATGATAATGTTTTACATGAAGGGATTTTTTTTGCCAAAGAGTTTGTTTACCCCAACATAAATTTGCTAGTGTAATCTGAATTTGCGTGGCCTGGACTGGTGTTTGGTATGGGCTAGTTTGATTAAGTCCGGTATGGTTTGAGCTCGTTTGATACGATTTGATATTAAGTCTAAACTTATCCAATCTATTCAAGTCTTCTTTGTCTGATTGTTTAAATCAGGTATAAGTTCAAGTGAACAATTCCAAACAGTCCAATGACAATGACCATAAGTTATTAAGTGTTAACATACAGTTGACCATTGCTACTTGTGTTAGTAAAAAAACTATCCTAAAATTAAAGTGTTATGTTTCTAAACTACTATCACGAATTGACTGTGTTAGTAAAAAAATTACCCTAAAATTAAAAAGTACTTGTCCTGTTTCTAAATTAGTGTCTCAAATTGACTTGGCACACATTTTAAGAATGTAAAACTTGTATGCCCTTGAACTATAATTTTAAAACATGGACAGGGCGAAAAAGGCAGTGTGCAGATATGGACAGAGCGAGTAGGAGTTTTGCCTAATGCTTAAGTTGGCCATATTTAGACAAAATACTAAAAACACAAATTCAGTTTCTTAAATAGCTCTGGAAAACTAATATTCCAATAACAGTTTCTTTTCTTACGAAATAAGTCATATTGTACAAAAAATAGCGTTCATTAACCCCATTTGTCCCCAGTTTAACACAGAGTATCTGGAATGCACCAAGCGTTTATAATTGTACATAAAAAAAGACTTTTGGATTCTGTAATTGGACATATATACAATTAACCCCAAAACTGATTTCCTCAGCAGAATGAGAATGTTTTTGGAAATCACATCTGCAGCATTTTGTTTTTTATAATTGCTCACAAAACATTATATTATATTAATGATATTTTAAAAATGTAATAAGAAAATTTGAATACAGCATTCAGGATAGTTGACGCGATTTTAATGGGAATATGATGAAATAAAGTAAAATGACTCACTAAACTCTCGACGCCATTTTCACTAACTCTGCTTTAGTGGGTGATATTATTCCAAGGATATGTGGGTTCTAGCCCAGAATAAATTAATTTTTTTTTAAGGTTTTTAGCATAGATTCTTTCATTTTTGGGAGAATTTGACTTTGCACCCCATGTTTTAGGTGATATTTGAGTTTGCACCCTATTTTCAAAATCATTAATGTATGCACCCCAACTCACTATAAAATCATTTGACTTTCCACCCCACTCCTTCACAATTTTGGGTTGATGGGGTGCATAATTTTAAAAATAGGGTGCAAAGTCAAATATCATCCAAAGTCAAATTCTCCCTTCATTTTTTATGTAGCCCACAGAGCTTTTATTTTTAGGTAAGTTCAATCTGAATTCCTGAATCCGCCTTGGGAGAAATCCATGGCAAAATCTGAAATATGATGAAATTGCTCTACATAACTCTTAGGAATGGATTATTACAAAATTATCCCCATTACTGGATCAATCATCTCCAAACACTCCCAACTATTTGACCCGGTCGCAATAGGTAATATTCAGTTCTGGAGCCATGACGCGATACTCTTTTCAATGGGAATATAGTAAATCATTGCCTGGGGATTAATGACATCATAATAATTGGTATTATTTTTAAAAAATGCATATCTAGGAATATTCCTAGATCTGAAACTTCTGGTCCAACTGCCTTAATTAGGAATAATCGCAGTCAGAGAAACTTCCAATTCAACTATCAGTTAAAACGCATTGAAAGAAGTCGGGAACAAACCTGGAAAAAGATGAAGCAATGGCCTCTGCATATGAATCGCAAGAAAGGAGGAGATATTGTAGCTGCCAATTCTGGTGGCCCGTTTTCCAAGTTGGGGTTGAATTAATGTTTTGGAGGAATAATAGTACTACGTAGTAGTAATCAACGGCAGTGAAATGATCTTTTTGTTTTGTTTCAATTTAAAGAAAAAACTTCTGTTCTTTTTGTAATTGTTTGGTACATTAGTAATTAGGGTATTCCAGCTGTCTTCTCCTTTTTTTGATGCATCACGCTTTGAGTTTCCATTTTTGTTTTTTCTTTCTATGTTTCTTCATTTTATTGTATATGTAGCTTGTATATACACAAGTTTCTAATACTCAACAGAATAAGTCTGATGCTCATTAAAAAAATCATTAATGCTTATTTAATAGAAATCGCGATTTCCATCGATCTCAATGAAAATTTTGTAGGAGTTGATTATAAATATAATTTAATAAGTTTTTATAAAAGGAAAAATAACAAAAAGAAAGTGAATTAGAAGTTATGAAGCAGAAATTAAACATACGAAGTAAGAGGTATGATGCTCATTAAAACGTTATTAATGCTCATTCATCCGAAATCATGATTTTTATCTCAATAGCGGAGGTTTTAAAATAAGAGTGATAGAAGTATATGTTTTTACTGAATTCCCATTCGACATGAATTCATAGCTCTCTCCCTAGGTATTAAAACGTCTATCTGTTTTTACTTGCGTATTGTTTCACTTTGTTTCTTTTTGTTTATAGCTCTCAAATTTTTGTTTTTTATTTTTTCTTTATGTTTTCAATTGTTGTTGATAATCATAAATCCAAATTTATCATTTTAGATGTTTGCATATAAATCCATAAATAATTTTCTTGTTTCAATGAAGCAACAAAGTTAAATAGAATCCTAAATAAGGAACAAATATCAAAATCAGCAATAAACAATCATAAGAAACACCATGCAAAAAAAAAACAACACGATGCAACAAAAAACAACATAATGCAACAAAAAGAAACATTTACAATTCAACAAAAATAAAAAAATCAATACAAAGAGTATCACAACTAATATATCATTCAATCAATTTTGTAATTATTTATTATTACATGTATTTATTATATTACTTGACTCTACTTCAACATATTTCTTCTTCTGTATCTTAATATAATCCAACATGTGTGTCTCTCTTGTCCTCATTTCCTTTTCAATCTTCTTAGCTAATTATCATATCCGTGTACTTCTGCTATGTATCTGCAATGAGAATGCAAACCTCGAATCAAAGGATAACCTAATTGGGCGTTGGAGCATCTTGTCCAAGAAACAAATCGGCCTGCACAATTTTTGTACGAGATACTATATAATTTGTGAGAGAATAGTATGAGGAGAGCAAATCAAGGCATAAATGAGCTGAAACATAAGTATAAAAGTCTGCATAGGATACTTCTGGCGCAAGCTCGTTAGAGAAAAGGATGGATTTACGAGAATGTTATGGAACCGTTCCCAAATCATGAATGTCAGATTTAGGGAACAATAATACGGGAAACGTGGTTCCAAAATCCGAATTTCTTAGGGTTAATCCGGACTCTTCAATTTTTGGGTGATTTCTCATATTACGGGATTCAAATGTATTGACGTTCAAAATACTGGAGTTTTTTTAGGGTTTCTAAAAAAACGGGAAATGTGTTAGCGTAATCCGAAAAGTTTGGTTTGAAGGGAACAACTACGAAAATTAAAGCTACAAAACAGATTATTTGAGGAATCCGATCGAATGTTGTTTTTATTTTATTTTGTTAGACATGCCATGTACTCTATATTTTAAAAACGTACAAATAATTCAACACGATAGTATAGTATTGTAAGTGGGATAAATAATAAAGTGTTTTTGATGAAGTGTTTTGATTGGGATAATATGTACAAAAAATCAATAAATTTAGTGGTATTTGTAATTGGAAAGATGTGTATTATTTTATTAAGTAAAAAAAATCAATTGTTAGGTTAGTGATTGTATTAGTGAATATCAATATTTAATTATATTGTATTATAAAGTTATTCAATGTTCCCGCAAAAATAAAAAATATAAATATTTCATTACTCATTTCTTCTTGCATAACAACATGACAAAAAATACAAATTTTTATTCATTGAAAAGAGTTACAAAATACATATAAATTTTTACTCTTGTGCTCTCCTACTCGGACGCATATCCATTTCATTTGTAAATCGTATCCTTTGAGGCCTACCGGTTTGACTGTGTCGAGCACTTTGAGGCAGTATCACTAAATATCCGGTATCAGGCATCGCATTTGCGTCATACATAGGCATAATATCTGTAGCATACGTACGAATTTACGCAGCTAATATATACACGTACGGGATGAGATGATCTATAGTTATTTCTAAGAAATGACATGTCGCATAGGCGTGCACACATGGAAATCCATTTTGCTTCCCAAAACCGCAATCAAATTCGTAATGTGAGAGATTTATCGTTACTGGCGGATAATCACGAATGGAAACAGAGTATATTCCTGTTGTTCGGTTATGCGGGACAATAGTGCACCGATGTCTTTTCTGCGAACGTTCAAGAATATCTTTCCAAATATTTTGCGGATAAAGGAACCCAGCTCGCTGCCACATTTGACTGGCCCTACGTCGGTTGGCAAATAGTTGGACAACATATAAGTTGCCTTAACCAGCGCGGTGATTTGAAGTGTTCGACATCCCTTTAGGATGTTATTGAAGCTCTCGGAAAGATTTGTTGTGAGGATGTCGTAACACCGTCCGTTGTCGAAGCACAGTGCCCAATTTTCATGTGGAATATTGTTCAAATACATGAACGCATTTTCATTCGTATCACGAATTTGAGCCACTGTTTGGTAAAATTCACTCACCATGGGTGTACTCTCGGCCAGCCAACAGAGCTTTTTCAGTTCAGTGCTCGTGAATTTTGTCATGAAATTGCTCCTAATGTGTCGGAGGCAGAACTGCTTCGAAACTTGGGAGGTTTTCAATTGAGGTACTGATGGATAGGCACTTAGAATGTCGGGATGCCGATCTAATATTATGCCACATGCCGATTTGGTCTTACAACATCATAACATGTTCCAAAAACCAGGACCAACTATTTGTGTTTTCACTTTCCACAACTGCGTAGGCGAGAGGGAAAATCTCACGGTTAGCATTCATGGCGACTGCAACTAGGAGATGACCCTTGAACTTTCTGTACAAGTGAGTACCATCAATAGATACTGCGGTTTCAACGTATGGTTGTTCCAGTTGAATATCAGCCCATGTTGTGTCATGAGCGTCATCACTATCGTTAGAATTTGTTGTTGCATCTTCATCTCTAGAAAATTTTTCCATTCATAATCTGGATCATCCTCTTCTTCATATGTTGTTGACGGGTCATCTTCCTGTTCAACAGTATGCGGGTTATAACGTCCACCGTATTGTGTTGATGGTCCGTCATCGTGGGAGTGGATGTTGTGAAAAGTTTCACAATTGTGAGTGTTACATCCTTCATATGTTGATAGTTGGTGGAAAGTGAAAACACAAATAGTTGGTCCTGGTTTTTAGAATACGTTATGAGTTATGTTGTAAGACCAAATCGGCATGTGTGCATAATATCATATCGGCATCCCGACATGCTAAGCGCCTATCCATCAGTACCTCAATTGAAAACATCCCAAGTTTTGAAGCGGTTCTGCCTCCGACACATTAGGAGCAATTTCATGACAAAATTCAGGAGCACTGAACTGAAAAAGCTCTGTTCGCAGGTCGGGAGTACACCCATGATGAGTGAATTTTACCATACAATGGCTCAAATTCGTGCTACGAATAAGAATGCGTTCACGTATTTGAACGATATTCCACATAAAAATTGGGCACTGTGCTTCGACAACGGATGACGTTACGACATCCTCACAAGAAATCTTTCTGAGAGCTTCAATAACGTAACGTCCTAAAGGAATGTCGAACACTTCCAATCACCGCGCTGGTTAAGGCAACTTATAACAAAGTTGTCCAACTATTTGCCAACCGATGTAGCTAGGGCCAGTCAAATGTGGCGGCATGCTGAGTTCCTCTATCCGCAAAATATATGGAAAGATATTCTTGAACCTTCGCAGAAAAGACATCGGTGCGACGGTGCACTATTGTCCCGCATAACCGAGCAACGAGAATATACTCTATTTCCATTCGTGATTATCCAATCCACCAGTAACGGTAAATCTCTCATATTACGAATGTGATTGTGGTTTTTGGAAGCAAAATGGATTTCCATGTGGGCACGCCTATGCGACATGTCATTTCTTAGAAATAATTGTAGATCATCTCATCCTGTACGTGTATATATTAGGTGCGTACATTCGTACATATGCTACAGATATTATGCCTATCCATGACACAAGTGAGATACCTGATACCGGATATTTAGTGATACCGCGTCAAAGTGCTCGATGCAGTCAAACCGATAGACCTCAAAGGATACGATTTACAAATGAAATGGATATGCGTCCGAGTAGGAGAGCACAAGAGTAAAAATTTATATGAATTTTGTAACTCTTTTCAATGAATAAAAATTTGTATTTCTTTGTTATGTTGTTATGCAAGAAGAAATGAGTAATGATATATTTATATTTTTTCTTTTTGCGGGAGCATTGAATAACTTCATAATACAATATAATTAAATATATATATATTCACTAATACAATCACTAACCTAACAATTGATTATTTTTTACTTAATAAAATAATACACATCTTTCCAATTACAAATATCACTAAATTTATTGATTTTTTTTACATATTATCCAAAATCAAAACACTCAAAACACTTCATCAAAAACACTTTATTATCTATCCCACTTACAAATTTATATTGAATTATTTGTACGTTTTTAAAATATAGAGTACAAAATAATGCTCTGACTCCATATTATTATCCCACCTACTCAACTCTACGTACGTGGCATGTTTAACAAAATAAAATAGAAACAACATTCGGATTCCTTAAATCCATTTTGTAGCTTTTCGTAGGTGTTCCCCTCAAACCTTAACTTTTCGGATTACGCTAACATGTTTCCCGTTTTTTTAGACCTAAAAAAACTCCCGTATTTTGGACGCTCATGCAGAGGAATCCCGTAATATGAGAAATCACCCAATTAGTTATCTTCATTCTCACTATAATTCTAAATGCCTTGTAAAGAAAGAAGTAAACATTAGGTGAACT